GAGTCCCACCCCCTTCCCCTCCCCTTCCACCCTGGCAGGACAAGTGCCCCGCAAGCTGCTGGCTTGACCTCCCCAAAAGAGCTGGGTGATCAGGGAGTCCCCAAAATTTGATGCCCCTCGTGCACATGGGCTGACACCGAACTGAGTAGGTGCATTGAGGACACCTTGGGGGTCAAGAGCCTTCTCTCCTTCACCCCATTCTCTCAGCAGAGAATCAAACAGCCATTTGTCTTTATGGTAGGATATTTCCACATTGATGAGGACAAGAAGGAAGAGCTCAGCTGGTGTACACGTGTCTACTAATACCAGCCCAGGATCTGGCTTGGAGCATGTTGTCCTAATATTTTCTATCAGTCAGGAAAGAGGAGCTTTTTGTACTCATCACTTCCCAGCACGAGAGAAGTAATATTTAAACCAGTGCTGGTGTGCTGCTGGGCACTGGAGACGCCAAGAGCACGAGGAACACTCCTCAGGGCAGTAGAGCTTGGAAAAAGTCCTGCTCACCCTACTGCCAGAGTGGCAGAGATTGTTAACTATCTTTTGGAATTGCTGTTTGCAAACAATTGGAGGGAGATCCTAAACTATTTCATAAGGGTACAAAGTACAACAGAAGCCAGTGCCTTATATAGAATAAACAAAGCACTGCACATTTTCTCTCCTCCTTCTGCATGCATGGATCACACTCCATGCAAATTAGAAATAAAGGGAGAACAAAGAATACATTCAATATCAAGTTTTGTGCATCAAAGTAACTCTATTTTAAGTTTTTTCCAAATATCAAAAGATGCCCATATGGCACAAAAACAACCTAAAAATGGTACAGAAAAAGAAGAATCATATTCACTGCAGCAAAATAATGATAGCAGTTGAGAAACCAACAGATGTCTATGGCTCAGAATTTTGAAATTTGTTGCTCTGTCACAGTGACATTTACAGTATGGTAACAATAATTCTATAATTTAATCAACTTGGATTACTTTTATTTTTAGCATTTGAATTGTATAGAATCTTACCAAAACTGTTTTGAGGCATACATGATAAGTACTTTTTAAACAAATTCCAAATTACGTATCTTTAAAAAAAAGCACCAAAGAGCCCAGTATATGTGATTCAAAAACACATGGTGAAAGTTTTCTAGAAAGAAAATATAGGAAGCCAGTGATTCATCATGGAGATGATGGGTCTGCCATAACAGCAGTACCATGGCAGTGTTGCCAGATCTTCTCTGTATCTGAGGATATCTGAATTTTGGGCTCTCTCTCTTTTTTTTCTCCTAAGACACCAACTTTTCCACTGACAATTTCAGATACACATTTCTGAATAGCACTGCTTGTCTCTACAGCCATTTACCAGAGAAAGGTTTTAAACACTTACATAAAATAGGTATTACTAGTCTTGTGTTTTAAACAGTGTACTAATAGGCTATATATACCTTTCTCTAGCCAAAACCCTTCAATCTACAATCTTTTTGTTTTTTCCAATTATTTATAAAGTCCCACTTCCACTGTGGTCACTAACGTAGTAAGTCATTTTAAAACAAAGCCAAGCATTTGCTAGACCTGTTCAGATATCTAAAGAAGTCATCTTTTTGCACACACAAATCATTCTAACCTAGATTATTCCATCTGGACATTTGTCTCCTAGACCAGCCATCTTCGAATCCCTTATTGTTATTCCATTTTTCCATCACTTCAGGCTTTCCAAATCATTAACTTAGCTTCTCTTGAAGAGATTAAGGCCTGTGGGGTTTGGGGTTGCTCACTTCATGCAAAACAACAGAGACTTCTGAACAGCAAAGGTAGTCAGAACACCACAAAGAATGTAAATCATCATTAGGCAGTGAACTTACATTTTGCTACATCCATGCAGATCTAATTCAAAAAGCACTGAGTACCTCCCTCTTTCACCAGTTTTACCGACACTTGTGAAAAACATCTTTTTAAAACTAGGCAATTTTTTGAAGGAATTGTGGATATGAAGAGGTGCTAGTTTGATTTATTGGAGAGTTGATGTTGGTTTTGTATAACTTTTTCAAAACAGCCACCATTTTAGCTGCAGATTTAATTTATATTGTCTTCTTATTTGTATTCAAATAAATGCATTTAGATTACTAAACTCAAACTCCTTGATTTAAGAGCCATTTCAGCATGGCCTGAACTCCGAAACCCCTTCATTCACAGGTGTATACTTGAGCAGAAGTAGTGGCAAATGCAAAAGCAGCAGCAACCCAAGTTCCCTGGCAGAACAAGGACACGGGGTTTCATATCTCACTCTTCTCCAATGTTCCTTTACACAGGCTGTGCCAATTGCTGCCAAGCCCCAGGCAGTGTCAAACCCCCCAGCTACCGTCAGGACATCCCATTTTCCATCTAGCCACTAAATCTGACCTGGCAATAACCTCATGTACCCTCTTAGCTTTCCCCATCCACATGCTTTCTGCACAATGGGAAAGTATTTGAAACCCCAATTCCCTTTTTTTGCACAAGAACTTGATGTCCATCTTGCAGGGACAATTGGTGGTGGGTTTCCCATACAGGCAGAAAAGTTTTCTCTAGGTACCTGCATGTTTATTATAGAAACACAAAAGAGACCTTTCAGTACCCTATATTTTTCTCACTCTGATGAAAAAACCCACACTGTGTTCCAAGTTTTTATTAACTGCTGTTATTCATAATTATTCCTGCAAAGCTTTATTAAAAGGAGGATAAAACATTCTCTGGCACTTCCTCCTCTTCTTCCTCAAGCTCACACATCCTTATTTCTCTAAGTTATGCTGGCAGGCTCATGAAAGGTCAGCTTTGCACTGCCATCAAAGCATCCTGATGCAGAAGGGAGCCTGAGGTCACTCCCGCCTCCAAGAAGCGCCGGCAGCTTCCTGACCACTCGCAGCAGGAATGGCATCACCCACAGTGACATATTATTGTTATTATCATCCTCTTACCACCAGCATTTGCAGATTAAACTGTGAGCCTGGCTAGAGCTCTCAGTGTGTAAAAGCTGGCTGCTTTATTGCTCGTGCTCCAGTCCAGCTGATCCTGCTTCCCACCACCTCCACGCCACCGCCGGTTCTGTGGGTTCTCACGGTGCCAGAGCAAGGATCCCCCTCTCTGGGACAGGGCAATCACATCTGACAACAGGAGAAGGAGGAGTGGGCAGGGGAGGAAGCAAAGGGAAAGCTCTGTCTTCTCTTCCCAGCTGGCAATCTCAGGCATTCAAAACAGAGCAGGACAAAGAGCCTGAAAATGTGGGCAGCATCTGATGAAGAGGCTGTTAATTCAGAAGAAGGTTATACAATTGGCAGTGGTCTGTTTATGGCATTATAGCTTCTTTTTGAGAAACACTATAAAGAGGGAGAAAAAATGTGTCAGCAGGGATATCAAAGTCCAGTCAGAGGAAAAGCTAGGGAAATACAGCAGCGGCTGATAAATAAATAACCACCTTTAAAAATACAACACATGCAACAAGAGGGAAGTTTCCCCTATTTCAGCCCCTTCTAGCAAGCAGTGCCACTTAAAGCTCCCTGTATGCCCTAATACACATCTCTTCTGTCTGCACATTTGTTATTTAACTTCCTTAATTTCAAAAAAGAAAAAAAAATAGAAAACATTATTTTCAACCCTGATCTATGCCTTTGAAATATGCAGGAACTCTATCACAGAATTTTTCCACGCTCATTAGTGCCAGCACACATTTTCTCTTCCAGAGAGGGAATACTAAGAGCTCCTCCTGACCCAGGCTGCTTTCTACAGGCTCCCGTGAAACAACAGGAGGCGAAGGGCCCCCAGGCGCTGCCATCCCCTTGCAAGGACTATCAGTTTGCATTAGTCACAACAAACCTCCTCCCATCACCCAGCCTTCTCAGGGTCCTTCGCTTGGGAACAGTTGCTGGGCTGAGGCTGCTCTGCTGTTATCTTTTTAGATTGCCAACAAAGGAAATTACAGGTGACTGACAGGCAGTACCGCACTCTGTAGGGTTTGGGGGGTTTTTGTAAGAGATTGTTTGTCCTCTGGAACAGCAGCCATCAAGCTTTAACCCACAAATCACAGACACAGGGAGGGCAATTTCTAAATCTAAAAGGCAGGCATAAAACCTTCATTATGAGAAGTGGAGTTGTTTTCTAATTTCCTGACCTTGAAAGTTATTTCTTAAGAGTCTGAAGGTAGTACAGCTTAAAACTTCATGTCTGATACTTTAAAACTGACATTTGAAAAAACTGTGGGTGTTGGGCTGGTTTGAGGGGGTTTTTTTTGGCATTAAAAAAAAAAAAAAAAAAAAAAAAAAAGAGATGGGGGAAGAGTAGTAAGGAAAAGATCCATACATATTTTCTAAGAGATACCTCTTCGAAAAGTAAATTTTGCTGCTTATGTGTACAAAATCACTCATTTGGACCATTTTGAGATCTTCCCAGAGCACAGAGCTTCTAGAGCTGATTACTGAGCACATCATCTTTGCCCACAGTCTCAGGCCTGTGCTTCCTATTAAGTTTATTTCAAAGCCTGTTTTTTCAAAGAGTAAAATACTTTTGCTGGGGTGGATGCAGTCCCACTGAGAGGGTTGGTCATATGTCAGCACGTTAGATAACACCCATTCCTGAAAATTCTAACTTAGACCAGATACTAACATTTGTTATTGATGTATTTAAATTTAGGATAAGGAAAACTGTAATGTGTTATAAATCAGGATTTATTATATCACTTATTCTTACCAGTAAAACAAAAACATATTCCTAACTATGTTTTAAGGAAAAGTACACTGACAGGAAAGACAAAATGTGAGGTTTATTTGAGGTGTGATTTTTTTGGTTTTTAACCAAAGAATGAGCTCTAGGAAGATAAGTTCTCCTCCTCCAAGACAGTGGTGATGTTTCAGTCTATTCTGTGAGATTATCATCTTATCAACTCAAAAGTGTTTATATTTGTGTATATGTGTCAAAGAAAATACATTAAAATCCACATATAATGTATTATCATATTAATTCAAAGCACTTACATTTTGACAGGTTTGCATCTTGCCATGGACAGAAGAAGCCTGGACAACTACATTAATGATAGCCTGGAAAACACAAACTGCAGGAAAAAACACAACAGAGACCCCACAAACAGCATGGGGCAAGGAGGAGGGGGAAGGGATGGGAAAGAAGGGGTTAAACATGCCAAGGTCATAGTAATTTCTGTTGAGTAGAATCACAGAATGGTTTGGATTGGAACGGATGCTAAGCTCATCCAGTTCCAAACCCCCTGCCATGGGCAGGGACACCTTTCACTAGACCAGGTTGCTCAGAGCCCCATCCAATGTGGCCTTGAGCTCTCCCAGAGATGGGGTATCCATAACTTCCCTGGGCAGCCTGTTCAAGTGCTTCAGCAGCCTCACAGTACAGAATCACCTGCTACAATCTCTGCTGTTCTCCTTTGTCCTGGCCCTAAACTGCCTGATAAAGACTACCTCCACATATTTCCTGTAGGTCCTCTGTAAGTAATGGAAGGCTGCCACAGGACTGCCCTGGAATATATATTTATAAAGCACATATTTTTATATATACATAATATATAAAGTATTTATTCACTTTATATAACATACTTTAGAAAATAACTATTTTATAAAATAAGTACCTTCACATAGCTAGCCAAGTCAGGAAAAGGCACGGAGGAAAAGGCAGAGAAAAAGGAGGAGGAGGCACATTACAAACCAGTCTAGTCTCCATTTCACAATATTTGTAGCTTCAAGCAAGTGAAGCCTACCTACAGGTAGCACAGAAGGGCAAAATCTGATCAACAGAGCCTTGGAGGCATCAAATCACCACCAACAGCTGTGGTTAACATTGTTCCTGTGCCTTCCTGGTGGTTATTTCGATTTGCAGCAGCAGTGATCAAGCTGTTTTGATTTGCAAGGTGCCTCTATGTGCCCAGTGCTTTGGTTATGGTTTCCAGTCTCACAGACTTAACCTTCCCACACCAGTCTCACTTCTGACAGCTGCCTTTGGCTGACCTCTTGGAGGGATACCAGCCCTGGACCACAGGCTGAGGCCTGGGTAAGTCTCCAGACACGGAAAAGGATAGGATGGGCGTCTGTTAAGGAGTAGCAAAACCACATTCATTCCCACATAATGTGGCTAAATTGCTCATTACTACCATGCAAATAGGCATGTTTCCTGCATCAATTTTAGTGGAAGAAGGCCTCAATTCCTACAGCACTAACATTTCTAGCTAACTGATTTTACCCAGTAATGATATCTGTTCCCAAAACTCCTTGTCCAAACAAAGGGAATGTGTCTGTTGACCATCTCTCTCCACACAATTAATGAACTATTACTGTCTGTATGACTCATGGTGAAGAAGGATCACATGAGCTGGGATTAATATGATCTATTTTGCCCTATTTCCTACTTCTGTCATGTTATGTTATGTTTGCTGTATTACCTTTATTTACACTTTAAGGATGATAAATTAAATTAATCAGGGGACTACAGTGACAACTCCTGAGGAAATATGGGCTGTTTTTATGTGAGTGGATGCTTTAACTGCTGGCTTAAATGTCATCCAAATCCTCCATATTTTATTCACTGAATAGGGAGTGTAAGAATATGGTGTAAGGAAAATCACTGATATGGTGAGAGCACAACGTGTGAAGTTATCTGCCGCTTCCTTGTCCTCCTCCACCTGAAGGCACTCATTTTCTCATTGTCCAGGCTGGCTGGAAGCTCCCCTCCTAACAGGTGAAGAGCCCAGCACAGCCCAATCCTGCCCCAGAGCTGCAGCTCCTGGTCAATAACAAAACAATACACTTGCCCTCACAGCCCATCAAGAAATGCAGTCCTATTTACTTTATATAAAAAAATTTCTTTTTAATTTTTGTAAGCGAAGAAAGCAGCTGCCTGCAGAGGAACAGCCAGAAGACCTTGAGACACTCATCCAGCACCTGCAGCAGGAGCTTTGTGCTGCCTGTGCTCTGGGGACATGGCAAGATCCAGCCTTGCTTTTGAAATCCCTCACCCAAACCTCCACATGCTCTGAGAGCTGAGGTGTCCTAATACCAACAGTGGGGAAAACTGTGAGCTTGCACTTTGGAAGCTTGTCTTACTGACACTTTATCCCCTCTGTAAAGCCAAGGGGGATGAATTTGCTGTGCTGCTCATGAGCACTCTCTTTCACCATCTCCTCCAACTGCAGAGCTGTTTCCAGCCTTTCTTTTCTGTTCCATTACCATTACATTCTTTCTGTTCCAAAAAACTGAACAAACTGGCCAAAACTGGGGGTTTTTTTCCATGCCTTAACTAAGTCTGTGGTTGTGGAAGTCTATGACCTCACTGAATCATATTGCTCAGTTCTTCAGCATGAAACTTTCTCTACCTGTAGCTCAGTAACAACAATGGAAATTATCTGCTGTCAGTCTTACAAGTTAATACAAAAGCAATTGCCTGTCTTCCTTGCAAAGCCATTTCTCTAACTAAGATCCAGGCCTTCCACATGTTTATCTGGTATGTTTTTACTCTGTCAGCCACCTGAAAGGTCTGGACCTTAGAGAAATGGTTTCACATTAAGATACCAGGTACCTAAACAGCTTATTTTCTGAGTGTGAAAATTTTCACTCAGCTAAGCAGGACAAACTGCAGCAAAGAGCACTTTGGTGTCCGAGTCTTTTGTGCACTTTCATCAGCTTTCCCTTCTGTGCAGTGCCTGCTTCTGAGACTCCCTGTGACAGAGCCCATGCAGCCCAGCAAAGCCAGTCTTCAGGGCACATCAGAGCTCATGGAACACCCGGGGTACAGAGGATCCTCTGTTCCAGCTGCTCCACAGATCCTCAGCAAGGGGCTCTGGCAGCCTGCCAGCAGTCGGTCCTGCACTGCTGCTCTTTCATTCACAAAGCACCACTCACTGCAGAGCGGCTCCTCCCAGTCACTGCTATAACTAATCACTAATAACTAGCTTTCAAAAACATGTACGTGCAAAATACTGACAGATTGTAAAGGCTGTTTCACTCTGGTTCTGTCTTCAACTGGCCAGATTGAATTTCACCTTAAGGAGAAGGAGACCCAAGTAATCAAGGTCTGCTAGACAATGACCACTTCTGTGTAAGTTCTCACGTGAGTCTTGTGTGACTTGCTGTGGTCCAGGTGAGTCCAGGTGGAAGTGTGGAAGATGTGGGCAGGCTGAGGTGTCAGTCCTGGGGTAACAGATGGCCTGCTCAGCTAGAGAGGGCATCTCAGTAAGACCATCATTTATTTTAGAAAGGGAAATTAGTATTACACACAATTAAAGGACTACAGGAGGTAGCACCACAGAGTATCATATCAAGCAGCAAAAAGCTTGTTAAAATATGCTGACCTCTCTAGCTAAGCCCATTTTGTCAGGACTGGACAGTGCATTTTCTATCCTACTGTGGTTTCCATAAAACAAACCCTGTCCTTGAGATATCCTACCCCCAAATCAATAATCACTGGCACCAACTTGCTCTTTCTTCTCCAAAGCTGCTTTGCAGGAATCCATTCCTGATGCAGTAGCACATATTGCTGCCTTCATTACTTTCTCCCACCACATAAATCTGCATTGCCTTAATTACCTTCATCTGAGACCTGATATTAAGGGATGCATAAGAGGCCATCAAATTCCCTGGGCTCGGTAGCACCAGAGGGATGGATCAGGACATTCACCCTCTCAAGGTATCAGGCTCTCAGGCATCTGATGAAGTCACAGAAATGAATGAGTGAGTTTGCTTTTCAGGAAACTTTTCAAAAGCTCTCCTTTCTCTGTTGTGCATCAAAATCCCTTTTCCCTCTTTCTTTTTCTGTCAGAGATAAACATTGCATCTCCTTTGAGTCACTTTTTGCTATTGCTGTGGTTTCCCACTTCTAGCTTATACTACTGGTATTCCTCAAACAAATAGCATGCCAAGGCTTCCCTACTTCACTTGGAACTGCATTCAAGCCCTTATTCTTGTATACACTGGAGATATTTTTCAAGCAAAAATCTAAGTAACTTGATTCTATAGTGCAACAGTTTGATAAATATAAATCTTAAATATACTTATTTTTTCCCCAGGAAGAAGACAATAGTTTATGAGACTATGTTTAGTCCTTTTTATGTTATTTTTTTAATTTGTATGTTTCCCTGAATGTTCTGATCACTATGGTCTTTATTCTTATTGAAATAACATATTAACTTTTGCATTTTTTCCCATGCATAACATTTTATTTATATATTTATAGTTCTGTATTTATGCAAATATATTTATGTTATTGTTCATGTGCTCATGTGCTCATTTTATACTCATATTTTTCATATATGGTTGAGTTCTTTGTTAACTTGAGATCAAAAAGTAAGAGCTTTCTATGTTTTGTCTGGTTTATAAAGACTAAGAAAAATCTCTTCCTGAATTATATTTTTTCCACATCTTTGCAGGAATTTTGCAATATTTCAAAGATTTTATTACCTCATTATAATTTTTGTGTGTTTTTAAAGATTCTTGAATATTATTGGAATTTTAGGAATTATAAGACCAACTCTGAAATAGTGAAAAACAGTGATAATTGAACTGACATTTTAAATTGCTTCCAACACACAGAATCAAATTTAACACCTGTAAATTTAAAAAATTCTTTCTGAAGTCAAATATGTAGTGGTGTAATCTTTTCTTTTTCTGAAAATACGTCACTTTATACAGCTAAAATTCACCTATAAACTATTCCTGGGAGAATTTTAATATTATGTCTGTCTTTTCTGTGTGATTTATTGCATGCAGTTTATACACTACAAGATGAGCATATACCCAGAGAGTTGTATTTTAAATTATCTGCAGGCCAATTACTCTGTGGGCTTACATTCTCAGACACAAATTCTGCTTTGCCATTGGATTTGCTTCTCTGGTTAAGCTGTTTGTCAGGTTTAATAATCCTATTAATAAAGGATTAAGGATCTAAGGATTAAAGACACTAGGTGTGTTCAAAAAACAAAAAAACAATCCTTAGAAATAAAAAAAAAAAATTAAATTGTTTCAAAAACTATAAAAACCAATTTATTTCTCTATATCTGAAGGCAATCACTGACTCCATATGGTATCAAAATTTCTGAGGCTTTTCAATACTGGCTAAAAATACACCACGCAAATGCTCGTTTGTACAATACTGATGCAAGGACAGATGGAAACCGCAGTCCCAGTGCCACCCTTCCCTCTGCAGGGTCCAGGAAAAGCTTACATTTCACTCCTGAGGTTGCTTGGATTTCATGCCAAAGGGTAAGGCACGGTACATGGATGAGGGAGGGAGTTCTGCTCCAGAGCACCAAAAGCAGGAACATCCTCCAGGCTGGCAGGGGACACAGAGCTCTCTCTTGGCTCTCAGCAGGCAGGGTGAGGGCTGGCACCCGAGCACCTGGCATCAGCACACGCAGGCACTC